ATATGGATTTACTGAGTAAGTCAGACAAATCAATCACATTTGTTCATACACAATTAAATTATTCCCCCTCCCAAAAAAGTACACAGGTAAGCAGCAACTGACACTCCATTACAATATCTTCCAAGAACTAGAGAATGTATCTTTTCTTTTATGTACACCGAGACAAATTTTATGTGCACCAAGACAAATTCCTTATGTGTCCAATCACACTTGGCCAATAAAGAATTATATTCTATTCTATTTTTAGCCCACATGCACTGTGCATAGTATAGCCTGGTAAAATTTGAAGTACATTAAATTATTTCAAAGTAAATTTCTTACAAGAGGCTTGTTAAAGCTTTGGAATTTTATGAGATGGAACAAAGAAAACATGTAAAGAACTCAAGTTCTAAAGTATTATTTGATCAAATTGTTAAAAATAAAAGAAAGCTGGTTTATTTGATCAAGGTTAAAATAGATAATGTTTAGTAACCCTTAATTGAATTTTGCTGAAACAATGAGGCCTTAAGAATTTGTTTATAGGAGATGTAATATGGGAAGAAATGATTGTTTATTGCATATTAAGAGAAGAGTTCATATCCATTATGGTGAAGAGTGAAGTCAATTCTTTACATATTTCTTTTCTTTTTCTTTACTACTGTATATTATTTTTCATGCTTTTTTCTTTTTTCTTTTAAGTTTGTATTAATTTTTAAAATTAATTAAAACTAATTTCTGATTTAGTCTGAAGCTAAATAATTAAATATGGTCATTCCAAATGCCTAGTTCTACCACCAGGATATTTTGTATACAACAGCAAATTAAAATGTAATCAAGAATATGTGTTAGCAACACACTGCACCATTAAATCACTAAAAACCTACCCTTCCAAGAATTAAATCCAAATCCAGTCCAATAATAAAAAAAAATCAATATCCTTCTACCAACACACAATAAGTCTCTATAATTTATCTCGGTATAAACAAAACCAAAAAAGAGTACAGATACAAACTGTTTACCAACTGCCTTATTCAGCAACCATTCTAAGTTACAAAAGTGCTGACAGTGTTGTGACCAATGCCTGCATTTAATGAACTTCCCAGAATCCCTCACTCACATAATTGCCATTCAGTACCTGTTGTCCTGTACCTGACCTATTGTTTCCCTGCCCCCTTGGAGAGTGGAGTGTTTGGGGAGGAGAAGATAACGAGAGTAAGTAAGCACAGGATGAGGAATAGTGGAAGCTGGGAGTTTTAAGTGTGCTACCCAATCCCCACTGTGTTATTTTCTTGTAATCTTTTCTTCTTCAATCATTCTGAGGAGGTTGGATTGCCCCCCCCCATTTGTTTATGCATTCTCTCTGCTCTGCAGGGAGAGGGGGGGGAATCTCTTCTGTGTCTGACCCATTATTTTTTCTCCTGCCCCCTCCCCTGAGTAGAGAGATTGGAGAAAAAGTGATTACAAGAGATTATGTGGATACACACAATGGAGAATACATGAGGATTTCTGTTCCACACTCCTTTCAATGTGTATTCCCTATTGTGTACTCACTTACTCTCTTGCAATCCCTTCCTCATCAATGAATATATATCAAACGTTAATTCTCTTCTTGCTAATTAACTCAGTGCTGGGGTAAGCATTCCAAAAGTTGGCAGGGAGGGCAGGGGAAAGAGAGCACATGACATTCATGATCATGTGTTTTCCCACCTAGCTGCCATTTCACCAAATGACAGAGCTATCTCAATTATGGTCATTAAACAAGAACTACATTTAACAGAGGCCTGGTTAATTATACCCAACTTAATGCCGGGTAACAAAATAAAAATCCAGACATTAATGAAATATTAGTGAAATAGCACTAATAGAAAATAACAAAGGGAAACAAAAATTACCACATATTAGATGCAGGAAAAAAACTTTGCAATTTGTATTTAGACAAATACTAAGATGCAAAATAAAATAAAATATCTCACAAAAACAATAAAAGCTACATAATATAAGATATTAATTAGTATAGAAGACAATCAATACACTATCAATAGATCCAGCACAGCAGATGAAACATGCTGATAAACAAAGAGAAACAAAATACTAAATACAAATAACACCAACAATATGCCCTGACATTAGAGCAATACAAAATGACTGCACTGTTTTCTCCAAAAGATACTAGCTAACAACATCTCCTTATCAACTATATACCTATGTTCACCCCTGTAGGATTACATTAGTATACCAAGTTTACTGATTACTTAATTAGTATACCAAGATTACTAATTTTAATTTCTTCTTCTAGTCAAAATCTTCAATAACATCAAAAAAAAGAAGTCTCATACCATTTGATAATTAACACAAGCAGAAAGATTTTATTGTTTGCTTTCTGTAACCCACTGTTTTAATTTTTATGAACCCCCCTGGAATCTCATTTATTCAGTTTGTATACCACACAACTCCTCACCACTACGTTGAAGCAAATGACAGGTTTGGAGATACACTTTATGTTTAAGCCTGGCATTTGCTTTGCAGTACTGTTTTCTTATTTGTTTTTTCAAAAAGAAGTAGAAATACTGTAGACATCTTTGCAAAAGCCAGTTGGCATATATTTACCCCTAGGAAATGGAGACTGAAGATTTAATCCACTATGTAAACACAGCCATTGCAAAATAAAACATTAATATCAATTTGTTTTTGTTTTTAAAAAAAGCAATCACAGGCAAAGGTCAGAAAGAACTTCCACTAGCTGAACATTAGCAGAAAATAATAAGGGTTTATTATTTTAAATAACTATTTAAAGACTTTAGAGACAAGTCACTATCTCACTACGGTTTGTCAAAATTGACAACAAATCTTCTGAGATCTGCTATCCCTGTGCTTTTTAGAGCAGGACACTTATGCGGGGTTTAAAGGTAGGAGTGGTAAGCATCTGACAAGCCAACATTTCTTAATCCCATTTTTACAGTCTGTCCCCCCAATGCCCTATCTAATCTCCCTGGAACCCAAAGCTTCCAATTTCCATTCTTGCCCTTGAGGCAGAGGGAAAGGCTTTTCTCCTTCTTGTGATATCACCTCATTCAATAACCTTCTAGAATATCAGAAAATAAATCTTAGGCTCCCAACCAGGATATATTGCTCAGTGTAACACATGATGATTATCCTATATATTTAACAAAGGGAAATGGAAGATGGCCTGAAATTTACCTCTCATTCTTCCTAGCTCTCTTCAGCTGCTGAACGTAAGCACAGCATTTAAATGTAAGGAACTGTAGGCAAAGATTAGAGGATGGAACTCCAGGAGAAGAAGTGATAGCAAGAAATGGCATGGCTCTAGCTTCAATCATCTTCAGTACCAGAGACAAATGTGGGTCAATGTAGAAAAATGAGAAAGATTAATGCTATTCCTTCATTTCAGTTCTGTCCATCTTTTTTCCCCCAGAGGGCATGATAACATCATTATCATAACAAGTGGGGATGGAAAAAAAGAATCACCAAGACTTGCATAATACAAGGTAAATTCAGTGAAATTGCCAAGCAGAAATTGCTCATACAAATGTACAAGCCAAGCTGTTCAGGGAGAAAAATTGACAGCCCCTCAGGCACATGTTTGAATTTTATCTTCATCCATGCTAGAGACCTATTTACAATTCTCCCAAGAAATAGATTCCTTACTAAACCCAAGAATATTTATTTTCCTTGACAAGACCGGAGCCACTGCTTCACCTTCAGAAAGCAGGTGCTTTTCCTGCTGCAGAGAGTGGCATAAACCCATCAAACATGAGATAATTTTGCCAGTTTTCTTTCACTTGAAATGAAATCCTGATGGATGATAGCCTCATCAGCTAAGCAGCCCTCACAAAGCACCAGAACTTTAGTAGAACGCCACTGTCTACATATCACTTGGGAGGTTCAATATAAAACAATAATGGTTTTATATAACAATTATAACTGGACAAAGCACTAAAGGGATGTTTTATTTTGACAACATTTTATCAGAAGCACCTTTTTGAAATTTCCAAGCAAAGTCCTCCTGCTTCTACAGAGTCAAGAGAAGCTGCCATTTTGATGCTTTCATAACCTCTTCTATCATTTTGTTTTTTTGAGCTACAAAAAATACTAGAAGTGGCTTATATGTATATGCAATGCATTGTAGAAACCTCTCTCTACTGGAAATGATGGAGGAGAATCCTGGAGCAATACAGTGTCTTGATGAGGCAAATATTTGAGGCTCAATGCCTCTATGTCTCAATGCCTCAATGGACTGGACATCATCCATGTTCACCACACACAGGTGTAATAATACGGTGGCCATGTATGATACAACATCACAATTTTTCCCTGTTGCAAATTTAATAAATATGTTCACCAATCCACATGCAATTATGGACAATTACTACCTAAGATCAAAGTACTTTTAATTAACAGGCCAATATCTTCATCATACCTAAAATATATTAAGTATTCAAAATGATTCAACAATTTGAATCACTGCTTCCAGTCAAACTGACAGGTCAAATCAAACCAATAATGTAAACTGAGCTAATTTAACATCTCAAATCAAATCTTGGATAATTGACACATAAATAATAAAAACTACAAGATGTGGACACCTAACTACTGTCATTCTGAGGCATACTATCTTCACACCAAGCACATCTGCAAAGCAGAGTTTTATTTTTATAGTAGAACTAAAGACCAGATTCTTCAGTCAACAACTGCTGCCTTTAACTATAGTTGCAATAGCTTCCTTGACCCAAATATCTTCATTTTGATAAAACTAAACAGAGATATCTTAGCAAAAACTATCTCAACGCCCACAAAATATAATTATGTTCACTCTGGAGATAAAATAAACTGTTCTTTGGTGGTTTCTAAAATTATCTTACAATGCTTAAGAAAAACCTTATCAGATTATGAAATAGTAGCTAAAATTTTAAAACATGCTAAGGAAAGATTGGACATTTTGTTGTTAGTGATATTCCATTCCAAAAAAATGAAATTCAATTAAAGGATAATTAAATACTTACTCAGTCTCCAGTTAATGTCCTGGATTGTGTATCTCTATTCAGATGCTTGGTGGACACTAAAAGAAAGAAAATAAGAGAAAAAATAGAGGATGTTTAGTAACATTCTTAAAAACAATAGAATTGTGTTTTCTCTAGATGTTGCTATAGTTAACATGCCTGCCTCCTATTTGTTAAAGATAAATCACATCCAGTATGTGAGTTCGTGTGACTCGAGTATTTTTTATGATCTGTTAACTATGACTTCCAAAATGTGGTTTCCACACCTTTTTTTTTTTAAGGAATCCTGGAATCATACAAAAGATTCCCCATTAACACACCTTGGAGTTTTGGTGGTGCCAATGCTCAAAACCACTTCAGTAGGAAATTATAATGTAACACGAAAATAGGATTAACTGAGTTGTATTGTCTCAAAAATGCTTTCTTCCCTTCAAAGAGAAACCACTATCCCACTTCACTTACATGTATGGTGTGGCAAACCACTTTACGTCATTCCATTCACTATGGCTCTTAATTGTAGCACCAGCTAGCAAAAGCACAACCATCCCTGATGTAGAAAACCTAGAATATGTATCTGTCCTTAGTCATCCCAAGATATTCTTTACCTGATATATAAATCATGTGTATATATACAAACATGTAAAATATGTATAACAGATCTTTCATCCCCTGATAATTCTACCCACTTTGTCAGCTGCATGCATAACATAGTTTAAAAGGTATTATTTTCATCTATCCATTAATTTATTATCATGTTCAAATATGACCAATATCCAAAGCATTTTATGGAGGAAACACTAATGCAACACTAATGTGACACAAGGACATTCATAACAGTATAATGCTTAAACGTTAGAATCTCCTATTTACTACAGCTTATTATACTTATTGTTATCAGAATTGTAAGTAGAATACCTCTGCATTGCGTAAAGGCACTATCAGAATTGAGTCTGGCATAAACAATCATCTTTCAACATATGAGAACTTTTCTAGGCTGGACAACAAACAGTATACCACACATTCCAATTTTATGTTCAGGTGTTACCTTCTCATTATGTATATAACTGCATTACTTTTGCCAAGTATTCCCTAAGGAGATGCTGGAAAGCAACATTTGACCTCTTGTGGGCATTGCAGATTACAATGCAGAAGCCACAAATAATGCTGCAAAAAATGGCTGTAAATTAGGCACAGTCACATGATGACCTGCTTAACAACCATTGTGACTTATGGCTATAATTGTGGGCTCAATTATGGTCAAATGCCAAGGACTACCTGTAATTTGCATCATTTTCATTGACTATCTCTCATTGATTATATCTCTCAGTAACATACCTGATGATTCTCTTTGCTACTATCCTACAATATCACAACTGTTTTTCCATTCATCCAACATTCACTACATGCTACTGTCGGTCCAATGTACCTAATGTGTATTCTTAGAAAAGAACAAACACTGGTAATTGCTACAGATAGTGTACACCGGAATGTGTAATGAAGAATGTCCACATGAACGTTTGGAAAAATGAATGCAAAGGTCACCTTAATAGCTGTTTTACAGCATTATACAGAGGTTTCTATACACAGAAAGCAGCTAAATCTATCACATACTTTTTTTAAAATTTCAAAATGCTACATTGCTTATTTACTCTGCCTTAATTTTGCTAGCCATGGGGAGTGGCAAAAATGTTCCACTGGACATACTTATCATCTCAGTTCTTAATAAACTGTTTACTAAGCAAAGAATATGTGTATGCAATGTAAAAAGTAAACAGAGAACAGTAATTTGATGTTGTCCCAGTGTTATGGATTAAATCTGCTTTACCTCTTTGCTAGCAGAGCAAGTGGGCAGGTATTCAGGGCACTTTAAAGCAAAATGTTTAGTGCTTCACAAACCTTTAAGAATAACAGAATAGCAGAGTTGGAAGGGACCTTGGAGGAACCTTCCCTGTTCAGGCAGGAAACACTATACCATTTCTGACATCAGAAAAACCTCTAGTGTTGGAAGACCCACAACTTCCACAGGCAAGTCATTCCACTGATTACTGGTTCTAATTGTTCAATTTTTTGACCCAACTACCTCTTTTGGGGTCTTGAATAATTTTATTACTCTACAAAAAAAAAAAAAAAAACAGAACTGACCCAAGACTTGTTTTACACAATTATCTCTGCAATAGCAATCCCAAACTGGATTCTTGATTCTACAAACAAGCAGTTGCTCCATTATCACAAGGATACAGTAAGCCTAAATTACCTCCCAGTTTAAGAAACACCGGTCTGGAGGATGGCTTTAAAAACACATTTTAAGTAGAAAAATACAAAGCAAAACTTGTGCCCGGTATCAAATTCTTCACTTGTGCAGAATTTCAGAGCATGCTCCTCTTAAAAGAGTGGTAGAAAGGAAAACAAAAAAATAAAATAAAGGTTGTATCTAACACTAGCAAGGAGGCAGGTAGTACAGTGCAAGTCATTATCTGATTGGCAAGCCCAGCAAGTCCTGATATTCCAGTTCTCCTGAGTCTCTCTACAAGCAAAGCCTGCCAACTCTATTCTAAAAACATAGCAACCTACATACAAAGACAAGTAAATACATCATTAAAATAGTTTTTCAGCTGTGCAGCAAGCCACAGAATACCTAAGTACAATGCATCAACCACAGCACTCCCTTAGTATAATATTTACAGGGAAATCAGGAATAGAAATGACAGTTAAACAGGTCATATATCCGAGAAAATATCTTCATATCTGTGTGAGAGTCCTTTGTCATATTTTCCTTTGCTTTCCTCTGCTGCTGGGGCTATCACTTTCTTGAGATCTCTGCTGTTTTTGTATTTTGCTGTTATGCTATTTTGAGGATATTGCCAGAAAAGTACTGATAAATCACAGTGAATAAAATAGTTCCAACTTTCTTTCCTGATCAGATTTTACTCAAGCCAATGCTATTCGGCCAAGAGATTATGGGAGTTCAATATATCTGTAAGGGTTCGAGTTGAAAAAGACTTCTATAAATCCATAATCCTTGCCCTGATTAAAATTACGTCTAGCAGTTTTCAACTCAGGAAAGGTCTTGCATACTCAAATAGTGTCTGTGTTCTGCAAAATCTGGAGGACAAAAGGTAAAAGTAAAGGAAAAATTCTTTGCTGCCATTTAGTGGTTGTTTGATTTATGCAGTCTACATGTTCATTTAAAAAAATACTTAAAATTTACCTAAAAGTTTACTTCTTGACCGATTTGTTTCAATTCCTAAATATGCAGAAGCTTCGCAGCTGAAGCAGCCTTTTCTCTTCTGAAAACAGCCCACAGCAATGCTAGAAAACATCCTTCTTCTAATGATCATGAATTACCTGCTTATTCCACTTTTTAACAAGACATAAGCAAAGAGCCTCTCTACAAGTGCTGAAATTTGAAAATACGTTGCACAAGTAATTGTTTCACGAGCTATTTTTGTTTACATGTTCAGATATGCTCCAATTATCTTATGTTTCACTCATTAAAAATAATTCAATAAACTCAACTCAAAAGGCATCATGCATCCAAATTCCTGGGCTAAACTTTTGTGATTAAATACCAGATTTCATTGCAAATGTCTTTTTTCCCTAATAATTTATTCAAATGGTTTGGGAGTAATTTTCTCTAGTTGTTCCCAAATAATTTTAAGATAGAAACTTAAATACGAATACTTTCTAGTATTTAAACAAGGAGTAATCCACACAGGAAGAAGGAGCAATCATCACAGTGTGAACCAATATAGCAACCAATCATAAGAAATATATAAGGCACTTCCTTAATGTAGCTATAAAACTGTAAATATTCTAGGATATAATTACAATCAGGACATATTCTTCCTCTTTGCCTTATGGTCCTTCATCAACTGAATTCAGCAAGAGAAAGCTCCAAATTCTTTTTCCTTGGAGCAAGAATGTCAATCAGTAGAGCCTTTTTGGTTGAATCATCAATGTTGAAGATAACACAACCTCCATGACCAAAGATGTTTACCAGGTACAGGCACTATTAATATGACATCATTTCTTAAAATAAAATGTCAAATGTTCCTTGAATCTCTTGTTTCATAACAAGAGATTGATCTGACTTACACGGATTGTTACCTTAGATTAATACTGTTTGATTAATGCTTTAACTCCATTTTGAGGTTGTCCTTGCTACAACTAATTATCACTGAAAAGATAAATGTTCTTCCATCGCAAGGAAGACAACTATCCACCCTGTATCAGCTTTTCCAAGTTTCATTGCTTTGAAGGAGAATGATTAAGCAACTCTTGAAGTTGGAAAAACATGATGAAAGGTTACTCCCACTAATTACAATCACAACAGAGCTATCAGTCCAGCAATTTTTTTCTCTATACCCACAACTAAGCTGCATATCATTATAAAATGAGTCCTTAGTATAATAAAGAAGATAAGTCACTAATTTCCAGAGAGATTTTAGTACCCTGTGATCATAAATTTATGGAAAACAACTCTGGCATTTAAGAATGCTTTATTACAAACCAGAAATAATTAGAGGAATTATCTGGAAAAGCTTTGATTTTTTTTTCTACCATGGTCCTGATTTTGAATGTATGGAAGGCAACTGGAATCTTTATTAATTATACTAAAATTAGCTTGAAATTTAAATCCCACATTATTGATTTAATTGCCACTGGACCCGAAATGAGTTCCCAAATTTGGGAGGGGGGGGTCTCAAAACAACATTTTACCAGATGTTGAAATGTCACAAATTTAGCTTTTGTGTTAAACACACATAATTTCATATATGTCTTTAATGTATAACTTAACCTAATCACCATCTAAAATCACACTATCCAAATGGCCAAGGCAGTAGGAGGCCTATCCATTTTCTAAGTAAATAATAAACTCAAATGTTGGAAGCACAAAAATTCCTTTATTATTTATTCAAAATTTTGTACTCTTGAGGACAAATAGACCCAACAAATGGCAAGACATAACTGCTCTTATCCAGATATGGAAGCTAAGAAAGGCCAGGCCAAGTAAGAATTTGGATGGATCAAGTGCCCTATTGGAGATCAACTATGGGGG